GGGAAAGAGAGAGAGAATTCTTGAAAAAGGAGAATAAAAATCTTAAAATCCAGCTTAGAGACACTGCAGAGGCGGTTCATGCTGCTGGAGAACTTCTTGCTCGTCTCAGAGGAGCTGAGCAAGCGGCCTCAGTTGCAGAGGTAAATTTATTACCATAAGTCAGGTTTGATATTGTGAATGCATCATGAGTTGTAGAAGCTGTATTCTGTATCTGATTGGCTTTTGTTTGTGTTGATTTTCCAGGACAACTTTGCCAATCTTCAGCAAGAGAATGAAAAGTTGAAGAAGCAATTGGAAAAGGTTAAAAGTAAACACAAGATGGAGATTATTACAATGAAACAGTACCTTGCAGAAAGCAGATTGCCAGAATCTGCCCTGCAGCCTTTATACAGGGAGGATTCAGACATAGCACACAACAGCATACCCCTAGATGATGATCAGTCATGGAGAGCAGAATTTGGAGCAATATATCAAGAGCATTTATAAACCAAAGAAATTGAACTTGTACCAAGAGTAATAACCCTAAGTGGGTCCAATAGGATGGAAATTTTTCATTCATTTATATAGGGGTATGCACTCAAAATTTTTCATATGTATCCTGATAATAAGTCTTTCCTATTGGTTTTGAATACTAGAATTTGAAATGTTTCCTTTTAAACAACTAGTGCTCACAAAAACTAGATATTGAACAATATGAATCCCCTTTATTAAAATTAAATGCCACTTAATTTTTTTAAAATTTCATAAGTAAAATATTATTTTAAATAGCACATTTTGTAGGTTATTTTATAATGCAAATAACAAGAACATTAATTTGTTCATATAAATTTTTTTATGAATACAAATACATTTGTGGAATATGTAAAACAAATGTATAAATCATATCAAAGAAAAGTCAAATTTAGCTCACTCCAACATCTCAAAATTGTTATTAAACTGATCATGGTGACTTTGCTTATGTTCAGTCAATTTGACTTCACAAGACAACAATTTGAATAACTCCATGGTGTAAAGTGTATTCATGTTATATTTTCATGCAAATGCTATTGCTTCCACAAAGAAATGGTTAAACAAACAATGCATAATAATTATATTAATCACAACATATTGATTTATACTCAAAATCTATATAACAAAATAGTAAGATTTATGCTGTTATTCAACATTAATGGACATAGAACGTTAATAACATATTTTGCATTGTTGTAATTCATGAAGCTTTCCATCGTTAATGTGTTCGTTCATCACAAAACTAAAAATATAAATATAAAATAAAAACAAAAAGTAAAAACAAAAACAAAAAAATGCCTTCTTGTTGGATTATACAAATAAAAATGTAAATTACCAAAGTAAGTTTGATAAATCATTCCCTTTTAATTAGCCAACCGGGAGGCCCAATTGGTTGGCCCTAAGCTTTAGAGTTTGGGTAAGGCGGAGGTCAGGTTTCGAGCTCTGCCACCGCGGTGAACTTCACCAATTTGCGACCTAATGGTCGCGCATCTCAAATGAGGGGGTAGAATGTTTACTTTCCTGAAAAAATTTCAGCTATTAACAAACTAACTCTACTAACTTACTAACCATCTACCTGGTCAAAAAAAAAAAAAAATCATTCCCTTTTAATTTCACTACCACAACAACACAAATTAGATGTAATTATGTCCAAAATGAAAAATCAAGAACTCATGTCGGATAAGTTATCTATTTATCTTTAATAATTTTAAAGAATTAGTATTTATTTGTTATTTTTTTTCTTAAAAATTAGAAAATTTATTTTAACATTAATTCATTTTTATAAAATATCATAAAAAAATAAAAAATAGTTTATTTTATATTTTAAAATATGATATTTTAATTTTTTAATTAAAATTTATTGAAATAATATAATTTTAAAGTGATTTTTTTCTAATTCTTGGAAATAAGTGGATCAGCACTAATTTTTAATTTTAAATATATTTAGAAGTTAGAATGTGGTGCAGAAAAAAATAGATGTTTTACTTTTATCAGTAGGGTTTTATTTAGAAAGGGAAAAATAAAAAATTAAAGTCATACGACGTCGTCTATTGTAAACAAATGGCAGGTTTTATCTTCTTCAATCGGCACTGAGACAGGCACAGTTAAAGCAAGAGACATTTCATTGAGGAAGATATTGGCGGACATGGCAACCTTGGATTCTCCAAATGCCGACGGTGATGTTGAAACTAACACTGACCCAAATCCCAATTCTTCAACAGCAATAATACCATCTCCCTTCAATTCCCCTGCCGTTTGCTTATTCCAGAGCGCCGGAGACGCCGCCGCTGGCGCCTTCACGGGATCCATATTCGGCTATGGTATGTTTGAAAATATTTATTCATGTAGGCGAATCTATTTTATTCTTAGTATTGTGCAAGAATTTGATATCCTCATGTATGTACATACATACATACATATATATATATATATATATATATATTTTCCATTGATATGTCACTTTTTCTAATTTGTGTTTTTCATTTTCCCCATGCTTCCCTTGGACGAATTAGGTTGCTTCAGTTTTTAAGAAAAGGGGTCTTGTAAAGTCTGAGGAAGAATAAATCTTAGCAATGGTTTGATAGTATCTGTTGGAAAGTTGGATTCTTTTTTGTGTTTTCATTGGCTTATACTCTTTGCTTCAGTGAGTTTTTGGTGGTGAAAGCATGGGATTTTCTGAGAATTTTGAAAAAGATCAACTTTTGTCGTTGGTTGATTTGTTGGGGAGTCTCTATGTAATTGTGCGACAAATCCTAAGAGAGGACAACTTGAGTTTAAAACTTGTCGAATAATTAACTTTGTAACTGTTGAGGCGGAAAGTTTTGCCCTCTCTATTTGATGCTTAATAATTGAACAGGGAGAGTAATTTGGTCCCTTTTCTGTGCAGAAAGTGATAAATTTGTGAAGAGATGGTAATGATACTTTGAGCTATGAAAAATTTTAGTGTTTAGTGGGTAGAAATATGGGGAGTGGGAATCAAAATGATATATGTTCTATTGAGTCATTTTGATGAACTTTATTAGCTGATAAGCCAAAAACTGATTGCTTGTTACCGTGAAGAAGTTTTATTTATTTAATTTCTTGACCCTTGATTTAGTTGATCTAGGGGTTTGCACACTAACTCCAAGCCCTTATGTTTTGCTTGTTTCAGTGACTGGCATTGACTTTTTGGTGTTATTAGTTTAGAATTTGAACTAGCATGGATATGTGTAACTCTGTATAGCTTGATTGATGATGGGAAATAGATTAAAAAAAAAAAAAAAATGAAACATGGGTGAATTTTGTGGATGAAGCAGTAGCATGTACAAATGATATCCTTTAAGTGGGATTGCTTAGAAAAAATGGGGCTGTGCAATGAGAGTTATTTGTGACACTTGTTCTATGCTTGAACCTTTTATTCTGTGAATTGTGGGTAAGATGAGCTATCAAGATATGCCAGCTTAGTGTGAAATGTTGTCTCACTTCTATGTGTAGAAAATAAATAATCAGTCATCCCATACCTAAGGAGTTATTTAGCACATCTATTGTTTCAAGATCTGTACGGTTTTGTATATGTATGGCTGTAGTAGATTATGCATATTTTATTTTGAGATGTCTGGAGGGAGAATTGGTGTGCTGCCATGCATTAAAGGCTTGGGAAGTGACCTATGATTCTACATCAGAAGTTATCAAAATCTTACTCCCAGTTATGCTTAATTTCTTATGGGTTGTTATTTATGTGAGATAAATCTGTGTTGATGTAGAGAAATGGTAAGTCACTATATTATTCGCAATTCAACTCCAAAAAATAGGAAGGAAAGTGATGAAATTTGAATTTTCTATTCAAGGTCCTGTTCACGTCATCTAGCAATTCTAGGGGCAGATTGAGAAATATAAATGCATATGCTTCTTTCAATTTCTTACTACCGTAAAATGCATGTTCTTTCATGTGATGATAATCTGGATTAGAGCTTAGTTCCTTGTTAGAGATCAATCTTTTGGGTAGAGTAATCGCATTTTCCCTATTACAACTACCCTAGTTTGGTTTCCCCAAGTTTCTGTTCAATAATGTTTTTTCACTTTTACCTCATCTTCTAAGGAGACAACTTCTGTTGAATAAAAATTCATTTTATTTGCTTGTCTCAGGTTGGGGATTGTTTAAGAAGAAGGGCTTTAAAGGATCCTTTGTTGAGGCAGGATCACATGCCAAGGTAAGGAAAATACAAGTCTAAATTTCGATTAACTTGATGGAATTGGTGGAAATTTCTGCTCTCTCTTCACAACATAAACATACTTCTCTTTCTCTTATGAAGTTGGTTTTGCATTTTCCTCCCTTCTTCCCTGATACAAGTAATGCATGTTGAAGTTTCTTTGTATCTGCCTTGTTTAGACATTCGCAGTTATGTCTGGTGTACACAGTTTGGTTGTCTGCATTTTGAAGAGGCTGCGTGGGAAAGATGATGGTATGTTATCGCCAACTGAAATAGGGAATACCATAGTTTTTGTGATGCTTGAACTATTGATACCATAACAATGCTTTCATTCTTTGCAGTCATTCATGCTGGAATAGCTGGATGTTGCACTGGACTTGCTCTAAGTTTTCCAGGTAATCAGTCCTCTCAATGTTAAATATTGGATCTATGTTTCTCACTTAGCACCAAAGTAAAAGGGAAAAACCCAAATCTCCAGGGTCATTGCCTCTTAGTTTCACTATTTCCAGTCTCATTAATAAGTGTCAAGCATAAGTGTGAATCAAGCTTTTAAAGCAAATAAAATTTAGAACTGGCAGCCAGACTGATGCATAGTTACACATAATATATGGATGGTTGGGGGACTTATCATTACCTGTCTTTTGAACGGTTATGGCAATTATTCAGGTGCACCCCAGGCTCTTCTACAGAGTTGTCTCACGTTTGGAGCATTATCATTTGTTGTTGAATGGCGGCTAAACAAGCAGCAGCCAGCTCTGGCACACCCGTTTTCTGTGAAAAATAACATGGCACGCTACAAGGGGCCTCAGCCCTTGGCATTACCCCTTGCACTCCCTATCCCAGAGGAACTCAAAGGTGCCTTCTCATCCTTCTGCACGTCCTTAATGAAACACAAAAAGGGCAGGTTCCCCACGGCTCACTGACGATCTTGGAGACCAGTCATATTAAATTTACATTACATTATATTCTGTAGCATGAAAGTTTCAAGATGATGTGCCCTGCACCTTAAAATTTATTTGTTCAGATTCTGAAGCTTGTTGATTGCTTCATGTTCTGGTAATTCCAAGTGCTTTCTTGAATATATTGCAGCCATGTTTTGTTATTAACTCAAGAGAAGAAACTGCA